AGGAGCGGAGGACATCGAGGAGCGAGGATGCAGCAGATGACGACTAGCGAAGCCCTTGCTCAGGTGAATCGCACTCTCGTACTTTGGTGATGCAAATAAATTATCGCGAATTATCGGGCGCTCAGCAATAGAGAATATTCTATCGCTGAGAAGCTATCGTAGTTATAATACAGTATCGCGCTTAGACGGATCAGCTGTATTTACTTTTAGCGAAGCCCTTGCTCAGCCATCGTGAGAAACCCGGCAGGAAAAAACGGGAGAGCCGGGAGAGACAACCAGGCGAACTCCCGATGTCAACAATGTCTCGAGACGAAAAGTGTCTCGAGACAATAGTACCGAAATTTGCCGATTCTCGACGATCGACGACCCCAGGACGAGGGGGACAGCGACGAGGGAGGATCCGCGAGGATACGCGATCCTCCCAGGAAGCATCAGCTGACAGCCTTGCCGCGACCATTGCCGCGAATAGATCCCACTCCGACAAATACCGTACCGTGCAGATAGTGTGTGAAAGAGAGAGAGCAGAGAGAGAGTGACGAATGGGCGAGAGTGAGAGGACAGAGAGAGAGTGATCGCGCGGACGGAGAGCGAGCGACCGAGGAGAGCGAGAGAGAGAGAGAGAGAGAGGACCGCCACCGCTGCCGTCACCGCCGACGGCGCCGCCGACGCAAGGGCTGTCGCCGAAAACTTGTAAGGCCGACCATCTGCTCCAATTATATTTGTGTAGCGTATTATATCGTATCGTGTCGCGTCTCGTCCGCGGAGTGGTCGCGCGAATAAAGAAGGCTCGCCCGAGGAAAGCGTCCTCGGGCTTCGTGTACCGTTTCGCGAAGGGTCCCGTCTCGAGAGGAGCGTTGTCGTGACGACCTCCGCTCGTATTTCGACTATCGGGACGTACGAGAGTCCCCGAATAAACGTCTCATTATTATTGCTATCGAGTCTAGTGATTTCGCTTCCTCCAACCCATCCCGTCTCCGACTTTAATTTAATAGAGCTACCGGTCCCGACGGTTCCGGGACGCGCATTTCTTTTGTGATAATTATTTATTCTCGCGTTTATCGAGGTGGTGCGGCCTTTCCGTACCTGGCACCCAACTCTCGCGAAAATCTTTGTGGCGTGTCCGGGAGCCGACGGCAATTTGCCGACGCGGCGAACAGGCGACTGGTTGCCGTCGCTCGCGAGAAGTTCCGCTCGCGAGTACCGTCGCAATACATGTTAAACAATTATCAATATAATGTAGACATTAGTATTATAGCTGAAATTATACAAAATAGAATTACATCAAATACAATAAATATATCTTTAGTGGAAAGATTTCTCAGCATCTCAGAAAATTCTCACAATTTTCTCAGATTTTTTACATGAATTGGAATATCTCTCAGTTTATTGTATAACACACAGGTTGTATAAAATCTATATTATTCAATCAGGAATTACAACTAACAGATGTTTACTGATAGGTTGTTATGAGTATTCTGTTTATATATATATATATATATATATATATATATATATATATATACC